AAAATAAGCAAAGCACTTCTCAAAAGTAAAAAGAGAAGAAAAGAAAAAGAACCAAGTAGAACTTGTTCTATATGCCCTCAAACCATACTCCACAGCCACAGTTGTCGAGACAGCCTCTTACTGGCATAACCATCGATGCACAGACCAATGGGACAGGACTGAACCCCCAGAAATAAAAGCATCTGCCTGCAGACAAGTGATTTTCTAGAAAGGGCAAAAAAAACCCAAAAATCATTAAATGGGGAAAAGGTACCCTCTTCAACAAATATTGTGTAAAAAATTGGATATTCGTCTACAGAAGAATGAAACAGGACCTATACCTCACCCTATGCACAAAAAAAGGAACAACCCAAGATGGATCAGAGACCTAAATTCGAACCTCAAAACTATCAGGATCATCAACAAAAAAATTGAGACAAACTTAAGGGCACTGTTGCAGGGCACACACATGACACCAGATATAAAAATGGAAGCACACACAGTGGCAGACAAAATAGATGTGGGGCCTATTAAAAATAAAGCACTCATGTACAGCAAAAGACCTCTCCAAAAGGATAAAACGAGGACCTACAGATTTGGAAAAGTCTTTAACAGTGACATAACAGAAAAAGAACTAATTACTAAAATCCACAGAATTCTGCAACACTTCAATATGAAAAAAAAAAAATAACACACTTACAAGGTGGGCAAACAACCTGAACAGGCAATTTCCAAAGGACAACACTCAAATGCTAACAAACACATGGGGAAATGCTCTTGTTCACTCCCATCCCAACCAAACTCATTGCCATCAAAGTCAATGCTGCCGCACAGAGATCCCCTGTGGTTTTCTGAGACTGTATGTGAATGCAAATCAAAACACGGATGAGATATCATCTGATACCCAAAACCCAATTTTTTAAAAACCCCAGAGAATAATAAATGTTGGTGAGGGCATGAAGAGACTGGAACTCTTATATACTGCTGATGGGCTTGTAAATATGAACAACCATTGTGAAAATCGATATGACAGTAGAAATGCCATACAATCCAGCAATACCCCGAGAAATAAGATTCAGATCAGGAACAGATGTATACACTCCTGTGTTCTTTGCAACAGAGTTTCCAGTAGTAAAAAGCTGGAAACAATCCAAATTCTCATCAGTAGAAGAATGAATTAAAAACAAAAACCTCTGGCCCATACATACAATGGAATATGCATCACTGAAAAACGGTGATAAAACTGTGAAACATCACATGACATGGAGAGACCTGAAATCCATTTGCTGGGTGGAATTAGTCAATCACCCAAGGACAAGTATTATATGTGTTCACTTCTATCCACTACTAAGGATAAAGACCAAGATGAAGGGAATGTCCTGCTTCCAGGATGTGCAATCCACTATCCAGTCTGCCAAGCCTTGTGGAAGAGAGTCTGACTAGGGCCCATGAAGCATACAGCACCTTCTCTATATGTATATCTTAACAACCCCTTTAACAAAGAAGACTTCAAAAAAAAACAAAGGAGACTTCACTTCATTTGGGGTCAGATCTTCAAGATCAGGCGACAGTGAGATAGCTATTCAGTTGCTATTATACAAAATGGTGCTAAGGTCGCCCTAAACCAATAGACAATCCTACCACAGTGATAAACGATACTGACGGTAAAGTTAAGTGAAGATAGGGAAGGGGACATGCGTGACTCGGAGAAGGTAAGTGCATTTCTGTTGGTAGAACAATGGGGGGGACCAACCTCCCAATCTTAAAAAGCACTAACAACACTTATAAAGCTCAAGGGGAGACTATGCCTGGTGCTACATACCTAACTGGGTGCATTAGACCTAGTTTCCGTTCAATCCTTGGTGACTCAGGCCATGTCCTATAGACTACTGGGACATCAGACCCTGGGTTTGTGAGTTGCACAACATCCTGCATAGGCCCTCAGTTCACCTGTAGCCCTTGGACTTAAGGCCAAAACTACAGTGTAAGAAACAGAAGACAAAGGGAATAGGACTGATAGTCATTGGACTACCATATAATATTTGCTAGTTCAGTGCCCTTTTTGCTTTATTAATATATGTATTAATCTGGTAGGCCCAGTTCTGCCATTGTAAATATTGTTAAAAGTTTTGCCTTACCACCAACCCCCATTATTTGTGTAAATAAATGTATAGCCACTAACGGATTTAATTTGTACCAGTCAATATTAACTCATGTGTTGTGGTTTGTAGTCAGCCTACACTTGTATAATCTCCTTTTCTCAACTGTATTTAAATTTTTTTACCATTGGCTAACTTGACACTATCAACAAAAGTATACTCCAGGGAGATGATTGATAATGTGTTCTAACATATAGTGATGATGATATCTACAAAGTGAACCAGAGGCATATATAAACCATAGATATAAGGCTGGCCTTTGGGCTCACACTTAATTCTAGCCACAATCTAAGAATAATTAGTTCTTAGGCCCTTCCTGACACATACCCTCATGAAGAGATCACTAAAGATATAGGTGCTACAGCAAATGTGAAGAAACTAGATGGTTCTCAGCTATCTGAATGGATAGCTTCTGGGGTCTTAAATTCTTGTCTTCAAACAAGCAGCCATTTAAGTAAGGCATCAACCAAATCCACATAGAAGAAGCACATCAGCCTGTATGATCCAAGGATTTTAAATATAATCCAAATCTTAAGGAGGGAATGGTAACAGAGCTTAAATTGTGAACTCCTGAGATGCAGAAGACTTTGGATGACAGTGGAAGCCCAAAATCCATATGTGGCATCTACACATTGATTAAGCCTTCTGACCATAGTCATTGATTTCCTTCTGACCGTAGTCATGTGATGTGAATAGCTGTGTTACACAGAAAAGTAGACTAAAATGTAACATCTGATTTAAATGGTTAAAATCTAACATATGATTTGATCCACTTTTGGGCACATCTAAAAGTTCTAAGAGTTTAAAAAATCAAACAACATGAAGGAGAAATATATATGGATGAAACCTCTGGTAAATTCCCTCTGATCATAGACCAGGGAAGTGAATAGCCTTGCTATCATACAGAATGCATTACAAAGTGGATTATGATAGTAAATGAGGGGGATTGTGGAGTGGGGACCCAAAGTCCATCTGTAGGCAACTGGACATCCGTTTACAGAAGGGTTGCGGGGGCAGGGGTGGAGACGAGCCAGTCATGGTGCAGTATGGCACCGATAAAACATATAACTTTCCTGTACTTCTTTAATGTTTCCTCCCCCCACTATCATGATCCCAATTCCACCTTGCAAATCCAGCTAGACCAGAGGATGTACCCGGGTACAGATGAGAGCTGGAAATACAAGGAATCCATGACAAACCCCTCAGGACCAATAATGAGAGTAGTGTTACCAGGAGGGTAAGGGGAAGGTGGGGGAGAAATGAGAACTGATCATAATGATCTACATATAACCCCATCCCTGGGGGATGGACAACAGAAAAGTGGGTAAAGGGAAATATAGGGCAATGTAAGACATGAAAAAATAATAATAATTTATAAATTATCAAGGGTTCGTGAGGGAGAGAGGGAGGGTGGGGGAGGGAAGGGAAAAAATGAGGAGCTGATACCAAGGGTTCAAGTAAAAAGAAAATGTATTGAGAATGATGATGGTAACAAATGTACAAATGCGCTTGGCACAATGGATGTATGTATAAATTGTGATAAGAGTTGTACGAGCCCCCCCAAATGATTTTTTTTTAATGACAGATACAACTAGGTTAAAGTCTAACACCTTATCATTTGATCTCCCTTTTCTTCTTTCTTTCCAACTGGGGTTTGCTCTGTTTTATTCTGTTATTGTTATTAGCTATTGTGATTCATTGTTTTGTAATTCTGTATGTTTTTTGGTATATGAAATCCAGGTTGGGTGAATCTATAGATTCAGTAAGTGGATTAACCATTAGTAATAGCAGAGGACGTTGTGGGGAAATAGGGAGCTAATAAACCTATTATACAAGAAAAAATGTTCTAAAATTGTGGTCAATTGTACAACACTTCTTGATATGATTGAACTATTGAATTGCATGATATTGATTATGTCTCAATAAAACTTTATAAAAATAAAGTGAAACAAAAATAATTAAATCTATACATTTTTCTCAGTTCAACTGTTATTAAAATAAAGAAAATATAACCTAAAAGAAATTGGTGGTGGAATAAAGAAAATATAAATGTAAAAATATAGAAATAAAAAATTATAGAAAATATTTTAAGGAATTTGAATATTGGAATAAAGAAAATATAACTTAAAAGAGCAAAGAATTGCTGATGACTCCTGCTCATATATGGCATATGCAAAGGGATAATATTTTAGTGACTTTCATTTAACATTTTGTATAGAAAAAAAAGTTTTATCGTCTCGGAAATCCACAGGGGCTGTTGTTCTAGTCCGTCCTATAGGGTTGCCGTGAATCATAGTCAACTCAATGGCAGTGAAATGAAAAATAAGACAATTGTCCAAACCAAGGTCGAAATATAACAACAGTGGTAAGTGGTCTTTCCTTCCATGAGCCTTTGCGCATGCCATCACTCACACAATGTCTTGACCTCCAAGTGTTCCATAGCAAATACCGCAAGTGGGTGGCTTTAAAGAATGCAAAGGTATTTTTTCACAGTCTTGCTAGCTAGGAGTCTGAAACTAGTTCTTGGCCACGCTCATTTCTTCTGTGATCATCTCACCAAATTTCTGATTTCTGGCATCAATCCATGGTGTTTCTTTTCCAAGAAAACAAATGTTTCTTGACGTTTGTCTTCCTCCTATGTATGTCTCTCTGTCTGTTTTGCTCTTTTTATAACCTTGAATTAATTGGGTGTAGGCCTTACCCTGTTCTGATATGACCTCATTAACAGGGTCATATTTACAGATTTGGGATTAAGATTTTAATACATATTCTGGGGGGAGAGGGTGGGGGTAGGGGTGGGAGACGACGCATGATTTTAGTCCACAGCAAATGGTAAGAGAACATTTCCCTGTTTGTCTGCAGATGGATGGTTTCCAGCCTGCTTCCCAACCCCACCTCGGCTGAGGGCTGGACAGTACTTCTACATGATCATATGACGCTTGATATGGACGCAGTCCTGTCAGACTTTGTTCGATCCACAGGGGCAGAACCTGGTCTGGCTAGAGACCTGCTGGAAGGTAAATCAATCTCCATGTCCCTTATATAATCCCTTGGGCATAAATACCTCAGCCTGGTGAAAATCAGTACGATTTTGGTTACCTAACAATGATGCTTAACATTTTTGCATATGAAGTCAAAACAGTAGACGAAAGTGTTGGCGATGAGATTATTATGGGTATTCTTCGCGTTGGCTGGGCATAGAATAAGTGACCTCAATTCTCTGTCATCAAAGAGCAGAAAGCACTAAGTAGGTTTTACCTTGTGTTTAATCCTATGCATAGTAAGTACAAATTTATTAATAAGTATTTTAAAGAGAATATAGTTAGAGCAGAAATTATGGAACATTTAAGAAAACAGATTTCACTGGGCACCTTAGCTTTCCTTGGCTATTTGAATTGAAATAAAATTATCTGAGGTCAAAATACTTTAGACAAAATAACCATTTAATAGTAGAGCATTTGGAAGTGATTGACTAGCCAGATGGCAAAATTCATCTTTAAAATTTTCAGAGTATCATTTGCTACATGAAAAACTCATATTTGTGACGATATATAGAGATAATTATTCAACCATGATCATAATGACACTGAGTTCACATTTAATTTCTGTCTTGAAAATAGATTTATTTTAGGCATTTTTTTCCAGTGTGGGGGAGAATATGTGAAGGGAAAAGCCAAATACATCAAAAGAGAGAATTTTAAAATTATTATTCTTTGATTAAAATAATGAGTTATTTTTAGGATTAGTGACGTTGAGTCCATCTAAATTGTATGTGTCACTAGTTTGTTACTTTTTAATTGTTGAGTCTTAGTCTATGGATGTACCAAAATGTATATGTTCATATGAAAAAACATTTCAGCTACTCCCAGTTTGGGGATATTATGATCAGTAATGTTATAAAAACTTTTGTAGAGTTTTTGTGTGAACATAAATTTCATGTCTCTAATATGGGATTGCTGAGTCGTATGGTAAGTGTTTGTCTAGCATTATAAGAAACTACCAAACTGTTTTCCAGAGTGCTGTACCATTTTGCATTCCCACCAGCAATGTATGAGAGTTCCAGATGCTTCACATCTTCGCCAACACTTGGTATTTCTTATCTTTTTTTTTTCAATTCTAGGTGTGTAATGGTATTTCATCATGATTTAAATTTTGACTCATAATGATTAATGCTGTTGAAAAAATATTGTTTGTCAACTGTATTTTTTCTTTGGTCAGATGTCTATTCAAGTCTTTTGCCTAATTTTAAATTGGGTTGTTTATGTTCTAAAAGTAGTGTTTTGCGGGTTGTAATTGTTATCTAAATATAAACCCTGTGTCAGAAATTTGGTTTGAAAATATTTTCTTCCAGACTACTCTTGAGTTTTTATTTTCTTAATAATGTGTTTTGCAGAGAAAAAACATTGGTTTTTTTTTTATGAGGTCCATATTTATCATTTTGTTCTTTTATCTTTCTTTTGATGGCATGCGTTAGAACTATTTTATGAATCTTTAGATTGTGAATATTTTCTTTGTGTGTTTCTTCTATGTTCTATAGTGAATTATTTTTATAAAGTATGATATTCATGCCATTTCATTTTTATGCATCCATTTTAAGGATGTCTAGTGGGTCCGGTGATATTTTTTTAAAGGCTATCATTCCTCCATTGTACTACATTTGCACTTTTATAAAAAACAAAACATATTTTGTGAAAATATGTATATGTATAGTGACTCTTCTAAATGTGTGTTTCTTTACCAATACAACATCATCCTGATGATTGAATCTCTACATCTTTACGAACGTGTTTCAGCTATTCTATTTCCCTTGTCTTCCCATAGATTCTACTTAATCTATCTCTATCTAGTTGCCCTACTAATGTCGTGGGTTATGCATTGGATTGCACACCATAAGGTCAGCAGTTTGAAACAACACTTCTCTAAGGGAAAAAGTTGAGGCTTTCTGCTCCTATAAAGATGTACAGCTTTGGAAACCCAAAAGGGTGTTCTAGTTTGTCCTGTAGGGTCGTTATGAATCAAAATCAATTCAGTGGCCATGAGTTTGGTTTTTTGCTTTCTGTTTTACTTAATATCTATCTACCAAATGTGTCATTGAGATTGTTATCGGGCTTATTTTAAATTTATAAGCAAACACTGTCTTCCAATCTGTGAAATAAGTTTGATTTTCCATTTATTTAGGCCTCTTTACATTCATCAACATTTTGAAGTTTTTATGTAGTTCCTAAACAAAATTTTATTAAATTTATGTTTAGAAGTGTAATGGAGTATTATAATTCTTTAAAATTTCAGTTTACAGCTTTTCATTCTAGTATATAGATATATGTTTCTGTGGCTTGGTCTTTGTATTAGGCTGAGTTTCTTAGAGAAGCAAAAACAACGACACTCATCGATATATAAGAAAGAACTTTACATCAAGAAAGCAACCTAGCCCAACTCAAGTCCATAGGTCAGGTGGCCTGTAAAGTTCAGTGCTTGGGTTGTCATCTTTCGGGGAAATAGCAAGTCCCAGACCCTGTCCTTTGTAAGGATCCAGAGATAAGCTGAGCTTACACACAAACACACAGCAGCAAAGGGTTAAGCACAATTTTATAAGAGCATAGAATCACTTCAAAAGAACTGAAACAGGTCCTTCTCTTGAGGTGCAATGTACACTTGACTCATAAATAAGATGCTCTTTGGTATGGGAGTTGCTGCTCTGCAGATGACCAAGCAGCTTTCGAATTACAGTTCATCTTTGAGTCTCTTTTATCTCAGCACTGGCTCTGGGTAAGACTTATCTTTTACTTGTTATAATTTTTATAAATTGATTATAAATAAATTGCAGTGTTTATTTATATTGTGAGATTTGGAAACATTTAGGGAATTTAAGATAGATATACAATGAGATTTCAGAAATAGAAATACAAAAAACATTCTGTTGGAAGATTCAAATGTATTGTAAAATTATTTTTAAGTATCTAAGATATGTTTTTTAAAGTGTGTATACATATTTAATATTGTTTCCCTGATCAGGTATAGGTTTCTTTTTTGTTTGTTTGTTTGTTTTTGTTTTTTAAATCATTTTATTGGG